CATATACATTAAAATTTAAATATCTCCCTCTAGACAATCCAAGAGTCGCTAATATTTTAACCTTGTTAGTTTGGTGATGAGAGACCCGGACATGTCCTGTCTTTTTCATCATCAACACAAACATCTCCATTGTCAGAAAAAATCAGTAATAATCAAACATTTATTTTTATTTATCAATAGCGAACATTATGCAAATTCATAACATATATTGTTTTCGATTGCACTTTTGAATATCCAAGGTTTACAGGGAAGTGATTTTTTAAACAACGAAGTTTTTTTTTTAAAGTTAAAGTTCTCTAGAAGATTATGTGACTGATGAATCCCAGTGTGACATGTTGGTTTTTTTGTATTTATCATGTTCTGAATTTTCACGTGAACCTTGAAATATAAGTGAATTTTAAATGTTCGAAAAATTGTATTTGCAATTCGTCCAATTCATTATAGATTCCGTTGACTTATTAATTCACAACTAAAATAATATCTTCATATCTCATTTGATTAGAAGTTTTTCTCTTCAATCCTATATCCCCGACTCGTATTACTTGTCATGTCTTTCACTGCGAAATATATTGCTTTACAAAACATTAAAAATTTTCAAACCATAAACTGTTTACCGCAATCTCTATGGAATCAAAATATGAAAAATGAAAGAGATGTTGATATTATAAAAGACGGAATTCTCGAACATAAGTTTCAGTTTTCGAATTTATATCAACGATGGACAGAGGCGGCGCGAAGGAGGTATCCAAAAATTTGAACAATTATATTTTCCCAAAATCGTTCGAAGTGATCCATCTCATTTGGTCCCAAAAGTAGGGGAAGGTACGCTCTGCTCGTGTTGATGAAAGATGACCTCTATACTTCAACACTCGTTTTACACTATGTTTCACAAAGCGTTACGTGATGTTCGGATCAGGCTCAAATTCCTCTCATTAACGTTCCTAAAAAGTCATTACACCTCGTATTCATAGAAATAAGAAGGCCTTTCGACCAGTCTTGGTTTTTGCATCGTGTCTAAACTAAAATTTTTCTTTTGTAGACAACATACTGCAGTTAAAATAGCTCCACGTTATCATAATGGTCCAGTTATACATGTATTAGATGCATCAAAAAGTGTTGTTGTTTGTGGAAAGCTTCTTAGTAAGAAGAAAAATAGATTTTTTTATTTCATTTTTTTTTTTCGTTTGTATTCAAATTTAGATAAAGATAAAAAAGATGATTATTTAGAAGAAAT